AGCCTAATTATATAATGAACATTTCATTTCCATCGTAAATGATTATGACACCATTTGGTGCATGTGTCGTAAGTTTGGTTCAGTCCCGACCCTGATGCCTGCTGTATATTTGGAGTTTGCATGTTCTCCCTGTGGTTGCATGGATTTTCCCCCGGGTCATTCGGTTTTCCCCTCCACATTTAGAATCAACATCATGCGTTTCGAGTCTTTGGCTGCTATACATTTCCACACGATGAGCCACTTCGTTGAGCCATCATTTGTGGCCAGGTCACTTCTGAAAAAGAACCACGTAGCTGAGTGGGCCATACCTGGTAAAATAAAATAAAATGTTTAGTTTGATGTACAGTGTGCACCCTCCCTCGGGCAGCACTTTGCAGTCCTGAGCCAGCCGTGCAAAGTCCACATTCCCCTGACAGGGACCTGTCTGTCCCGACAGAGCAGTACTCAGTATTCTAACCTTGGAGGGATGGTGTGGTAAGCCGCAGCGGACCACCCTTCCAGGGGATTTTGAAACTCGGGGAGTTTGGGTGCATCGGTCGCTTGTTGTGTATGTGTCAAGTCCGTGCGTGTTCCCTCACGGTGGCTGTGGCCGGCAGGAAATTGGGGAACGTTTTGTCTTCCAGGCACACAAGTAGAAGATGTTTTGCACTTAATCCGTGGCGATCATCTTCCATTCGCTATGCACTGCTGGATGCAAGTGTTCCACTTGTTATTGATGCAGCTTTTTATTTGCATTGTTGTTATGCCTCTGGTATTACCCAGGGGCCTCGTGACTTGTTCAGGAGGGTTACTGCCACGTGACAGAGAGCGCTATGTTTATTTTAATGGAGTTATTTGCTCGGTATTTTTTTTTGTTTGGACCATGATACAATGAGCATCTTGCGAATGACGCCACATGATTCACAACGTCCACCGTGAAGCGGATGGCGCGTATCTTTACGGTCGAGGCGCACCGCAGTATTCCTATGATGACTTTTTTTTGTAACCCGGGAAGGCCCACCTAGCTATATAGCTCTTTTTCAGAAGCAACCTGGTTATCACAAATGATAGCTCAACAAAGTGACTCATCATGTGGAAATTTATATCAGCCAAATACTGTAAATGCATGTTAATTCTAAATGTGGACAGTTTATTCATCCACGTCGTATGTATGTGTGTGCGGAATAAGTGGTGAATGTAGAGGTTATGCACGCTGCGCTATAATCTCAGATCACCAGGTTTGATTCCTTTCGATGATATTCAACACCGTTGACGATTGGAGATGGAACTAATCCTGGGTTTCCTGTTGTATGAGTACTCGGTGCAGTCTGTGATCATTTGCACTGGGGAAACAAAGGTGGGTAGGCGTGCACGGTGCTGTTTGACACCACCGCTTCCATTGCTATACCGGCCTTAGTCGGTGCTTGCTAACAACGCTTTCCCCAACAGTATCTGCAGCCAAGCAAGAATCTGTATATCTCTGTGTGTTTGCTTGAACGGCTGCTGTCTTTGTATACCTCTGCGAGGCTGAAAAGAGATTTTTCTTAAATTCGAAAAAGTCTCGTTAGCTCGTCCGCAGGTCCTTCTCCGGGAGACTGCGTGCGCTGCCGTGCGAGGATTCGGAAAGGATTCTTTGCCTTATGACGTGTGATGGCCAGAGCAGCATACTCGGAAAGCATTGGGGGAAGGGACGTGAAAGCGATGGCCCATTTGAGAAGTTGTGGTCTCATTGGGAATTGACTTGTGCCGCGCGGTGTGATGCTTGGGCATGTGTGTAGGACTAGAGCAGCGCTTGTATCTCGTCTTTCACACGGAGAACGTTCGTGGAGGGGCCCTGTACGGAGGTTCTCTTCGGAGCACTTTACGGAACGAGCAGGGCACGTGCGCACCTCTGCCGCCCGCCGTTCGATATTTCTCTCATGACTTCAAGAGCGCTCGTCTCAAATTGGGAAAGTCGCGACTTCGAATCCTCGTCAGGGTTTGAACGCGCTCCTCCTGCTCAATGCAGCGAGGAGACTCACTGCGGCGAGTCGACAGCGGTCGTCGCGAGAGTAGTAGCGGCCGTGTGTCGTAAACCTCCAGTGCCGGCTGCGGGGCCGCCGCTGGAGGTGAGCGCGCCGCCGGCTCGCCCGGCCGAACGCTGCGCCGACCGCTCGCTGTAAATGGGTTTGACCCCGACAAACGCGAGTGGAGAGGGTGCGAGCGTGTGGCGCTGTCGTTGTTGCGGTGTGACCGTGATGCCCCCTAGAGCCGGCATCGCGCAGAGCCGCTACGGCCCGCGACCGCTGCCCATTCAGCCCCCCACCCACCGCTGGCCCCATCAGTCACGTGACTTCAACGTTGACATGTTTGGTTTAAATGTGGCAATCTTGCCAGGGTGGTGGAGGGTTAATGACAAGAATTTTGGCATAAACTACCACGTGGTCCATCCCAAGATAAATAGTTGAGCTTGTTTGGTGTTATGCATAAGAGTTACATGGAATAACTATAAAGAGAACTGTAACAAGTTCTGGCGAGAGGCTAATCTTCAATGCAAAGAGACATTACACAACTCTTTGCCGTGTCGCACTTGAAGTGGCTATACACGGTATTGCAGGCACGTTGATGATGAATGACATCCCTTGAGTCTCGGAGTTCATTGTGGACAGAGCCACGCATAAAATGCATGCTCTCTGTTAAGTTTGCAACGTTCTGTCATAATTCAGTGCGCCGTGTAGCAAACATGCCCCTTCATTATTGTTACCACTCTCTCTGCAATGTTCAGCCAAACGTGCTTTCTACATCAGAGGAGCTTATGCTAAGCATAAACAAGGATAGACACTCAAATACAGTGGTACTGTTCATGGCTGGGTGCTCGTGGTTTAAGTGCTGTACTCAGAATTGTATGGTTGCAAACCCAAAGCCTGGATGGAGATAAGATCAGCCTCTAATCCCTCTGCTATCGTCTCTGCAAAGTCTGCAGTGGTTGTTCCTATAGACTGATCTCTGCCATAGCAATGTGGAATATTCACAGGTTCGAGGATACCAACCAGAGCTCCCAGTGAGTGCTGCCCCATTGCTCTGTGAGTAGGAGACACCCTCAACCCCCCTCTGATAGGCTCACAGTGATGACATCACCTTCACTCCCCTCTATTTAAGAATGACATGGGATAACTTCTTCACAATTCTAGCTAATCGCCCAATGCTGCTGGTTGTTGTTTGTGTAATCACCGGCAAAACGTCACAGCACTCGAATTGTTAACGTTGTGGGGTTACTCTCCAACTCACCGGTGTGTGTTGAAGCAATAACTAATGGACACGTTTTGTTTACGTGAATAAACCTTACTCATTGGCTGTGTTGTCGGGTGGCTGTGGGTTTAACGACACAATATCTATATTTATGCAATCTAAACCCAACAAAAAGCTCCCCCTTTATTACGGACCCTTGGGATTTTCACCTCTGGCAGCAGACACTACGTGCTGTGGCAATTGCTTCAGATTTTCCCCTGTAGCTTGAGGTTGCTGCACCCATGGACGCACACTGCCGGCAGCAGCGAGCCTCAGCCACGTGGGGAGTTGTTACCGTGACTGGGCTCCTCCGAGCGGAGCACTAAATGGGCTAACCGCTAACCAGAGACATCGGGGCGGCGTGGACTGGCCGGGTGGAAATAGTCAGCGGAGATGTCGAGAGCGAATTGTAAGCACGTGTGCCGAGGCACCGGGAGACGCATCGCTGGGACACCACCTCCCACTGCCGTGCTTCCTGTAGGGGGTGAGCGGGTGTGTACGTGTGTGTGTGTGTACGTGTGTACGTGTGCGTGTGCGTGTGGGGAGCGGTAGTGCAGGGGTTAGTGCGCTGCATTATGAACCCGGCGACCCGGGTTCGATTCCCACTCACGGCCAACACCAGTGACGATTATCTGAACCGGTCCTAGGCTTCCCCTTGGTCGACTCAGCTTCAAATGATTACCTGGTGCGGTGTGTAAACATCGCCACTGGGGAGACAAAGGCGGTCGGGCGTGGTGCTGGCAACCCACCCCCTTGGGTGCCTTTCCGGCCTTCATAGGTGCTCGCTAACAGCACTTGGCCAAACAGTCTGTTAAGGCTACACGGGGAATCTTTGTGCGTGTGTGTGCATGCATAATCCCTGCCACCAGCGTCAATCGTTAGCTGTAATGTGCACTACCAGTGGCAAGTGGTGTTGTGAACCTGTCCTGGGCCTCCACTAGGTAGGCTCCGCCGGTAATCCGTACCAGTCGAGGTGGAGACACAAACTGGACAAGGTCAGACCTGGCTGGACCATCCCGTCGTGTGTACTAGCTGACTTAATAGGCGCTTGCTAACAACAACACGACCACAAATTCGTGTCTAGTAAAAAATGGATTTTATGTTTGTGTTGCGCATACATTGGTGTTCCCAGAGCATTGCTCCCCGCCGCGTGCGTGTCTACGCGTGTACGTGTGTGTGTGTGTGCGCGTGTGCGTGGAAGCGAGGGAGTTCCATGGCGGAGATGCCTGGCACACGTCTAAGTGTAAATAAAGTGCACATGGGTGCTGGCTTGTGTGAAACAAGCACTGCTGGCTCCGTTACAGACACTGAGAAGAATGTGCACATTAGAATGGTACTTGCTGACGATTGCACATTTTGGTTCGATGATGGTCTTGTGCCGATTAAGGCATATGCATCATTCCTTGTATGTCTACCTCCCGTGAGTGTCTGTGTGTGCGTGTGCAAGGAGCAATGGCGTCGTAATTTTCTCACTTCCACCGCTGTCTGGCAGCCCATTTTTGAATGTTGGCCATGCACAACATTCGTGGAAATTTGCGTCTGTACCTGGTTTCTGTCCCTAGATGAGTACCTCATGTGGTGTGAGCAACGCATGACCAACGCAGAGATAAAGGCAGCCGGGCTTGCTCGGTTACTGCTCTCGCCGTGCCCTTGTGCGCCACGTCGGCCGTAGGCTCTCGCAAACCGAAGCCGCCCTTGGCTGACGACGGCTAACGGAGCGGGGGTCTCTTGTTGCCGTGTTTCTGTGCGTGCAGCTGGCGTCGAGTTTGTGCAGATCCTCGTGATCGTGTCGGTCGCCGTGGTGATGGTGCTGGTCATCACCTGCATCCTCAATCACTACAAGATCTCCTCGTCCTCCTTCATGGGACGACACATGCACAGGAGGCGCAGGGACCACCCCTGCACGGTACGCCCACTCGCCCACGCATCTTGTTGCCCGCGCGCTCGCTCGCTCGATCGTTCACTCGGTCGCTTTCCCACCCCGCCGCCTGCCATTTGCCCAGCGGTTCACTTGCCCGCATGCAAGCTCACCCATACTCGCCGACTCGCTCGCTTACTTGCCCCTTCGCCGCTGGCTTTGCCCACGCGCTGCTTTGCCACCTGCCCGCTCACCCACTATCCTCACTTGCCCTGTTGCCCACTTGCCCGCGTGCCCGCTCTCCTGCTCAATCGTGTTGTCAGCCATTTATGATGTGTACAGGAGTGGTTGGGCATGGTGATGCTTTCTGTGGACTCGGTTGATGGTGGGCTTGATGATGCATCATGCTGAGATCACTGGCACGAGTCGCCCATCCGTAGAGCGATCAAAAGTGTTGCTTGTACAAGGCAGTAAAGCAAGTAGGCAGCTCACCGGTATATGTGGAGATTAAGTGTTCCTCTGTGTGTGACAGATTAATCTTGCCGCTCAGGTTTCCTCCCACAGTGCAACATTCTCTCATTAGAAAGTGACCAGAAATTCCAAGTAGGAATTTCAAAAATATTGAGAGTCAATGAGTGTTTATTCAACGATAGAAAGATTTATTATACGAGTGTCATTTTACCATTTTAAAATTATCTTTATTTTGTATCTATGTATGTAAGTAAACGGTGGCCTTTAATTAAATGTATTAATTCAGGTATGATTCTGGGGTCGTTGTTTTACACCAAGAAGCGAGAGCGCTATGAGGGTTTTACCACCGGCTACTTGCCCAATAATTAATTGCGATTAAGGAATAAAGTGGCAGTAATAAATATCCTTTACAGAATTCCCTCGATGAAGTGAAGCCTCATACCTCGCGAGGGAACGGTGCTGCACGAGTCTGGTCCATCGCTACAGACCTGTGTGTGGCCATCCTTTATTACCATAATTAATAAATCAAACAATTAAACTATTTAAACTAAACTTTTTATTTTTTATTTTACCAAGTAAGGCGCACTGAGCTGTCTAGGTCTTTTTCAGAATCGACTTGGCTACCACAAATGATAGCTCAACGAAGTGGCTCATCACGTGGACATTTATAGCAGCCACATATCCTAAACGCGCGGTGTTGATTCTAAATGTGGAGGGAAAAACCGGAAGACCCGGAAAAAATCCATGGGATCACGGGAAGAGAGAGAGAGAGACATGCAAACTCCAAATATACAGCAGCAGGCGGCAGGGTCGGGATCAAACCCACGACCTCCTGTGTATCAGGTGAGGTAGTTAACATCTCCTAGCCACCGTGATGATGATGATGATGAGAGAGAGACACACAAACTCCAAATATACAGCAGCAGGCGGCAGGGTCGGGATCAAACCCACGACCTCCTGTGTACCAGGTGAGGTAGTTAACATCTCCTAGCCACCGTGGCGCCAGCACGCAGATGTGAAGCGGTGACGCTCTGTTCCAGAATGACGAAGAAGCTCTCTTGACTGCCGAGTCTGGCCACGTTAAATCTGAAGCCAGAGTTTTACCTTGGGTGTTTGGTGCTGTCGTCAGTGACCGTGCTGGGACAATCAAACCCCATATACACGACAATCTGCTTGAACCTCGGCATCAGTTGTTGCTTCTTCACATCCGTGGCCACGGCCATTATGAGCCCTCTGAGCCGCACGGCTGCCTCGGGGTTCATGCCTTTATGGTGCTTCGATGACAAACATGCCGCCGGGAATAAATATTGAATTATAAGCGTCGAATAGAACACCAGTCAGCATCTCTCCTGTGTGCATTTACAGGGACGGAGTCTGTGTCCCTCAGAAAGCCCCGTGCCCAGACAACAAAGCACTTCACAGGTAAAGTCCCTCGAGACGTTTCCTCGCCAGCAGCGTTCGCGCCATTGCCGTGAGGCCCCGCGAGCCTTGTGCTGTCCTCCTGATGTTGCAGCAATTTACCGTCGTAAAAGTATAATACCCTCGTCGTTCGTCGAGTGACGCGGCAAACCAAAGCTAAATATTGCAGTGACGTAAAGGCTCATCGTACAAGTCTGATCTGTCCGCACGTGCTCACGCAGCTGATGTACTCGTCCCAATCGAGGGACAGCATCGCAGCCTGCAGGCCGTCGCAGCACCAGCAGCATCACCATCTGCAGCAGCAGCATCACCAGCTGCACCAACACCACCAGCACCACCACCACCAGCCGCAGCACTCGGCGATGGCGGGGAGCGGCGGCGGAGCTCCGCGCGACCCCTTCCGCCGGCCGCCCCACCAGCCGCTCTACCCGTACAGCCAGGTGGAGATCGACCTGCCGCCCAGCATCTCGCTGTCGGACGGCGAGGAGCCCCCCCCCTACCAGGGCCCGTGCACCCTGCAGCTGCGGCCGCCCGAGCAGCAGCAGGAGATCAACCGCGAGTCGGTGCGCGCGCCGCCCAACCGCACCGTCTACGACAGCGACTACTACGTGGCGCCGCCGCCCTGCTCTGCGCTCGGCGTCGGGGGCGTCGGCGGCGCCGGGCCGTGCCCGCCCAGCAGCCACTCGGGGGTGTCGGCCGCCAGCTACGGGGGCCACGGCGGCCGCATGGAGGGGCCGCCGCCCACGTACAGCGAGGTGGTGGGCGCCGCGTTCCCGGCCGCGGGGCCCGGGTCGGCGCTGTTTGCGCCGCACGGGGACGTTGGCGTCGCGGGGCTGCTCACGGACAGGAAGCCCGGCAAGGGCGTCTGACGGCGGGCGAGGGGTTCACCCGTGGCCCCTTCAAACAAAACGAGAGAAATCAATGCCCACCGCCTCCCCCAGCACTTACGGAAAACATAAAAAGAAAAAATATATATATGATAATGCGGCTTTTGTTATTTTTTTTCGTTGCGTGTGTTCCTTTTTGTCGATGTTAAGTTTCGTGTTTTGTTATTATTATTTCTTTTCTCCGTTTGCCCGCTTGGCCACGGGACCAGTCAGCCATGCGTCCGTCTGTCTGCGTCGTCTGTCAGTGTTTCTGTGTCTGAGAAGACAAGCCCTTATGGGATCATATCTCACGTGCCCTATTTCCCCCCCCCCCTCTTTGGTTTCTTTTATTTTATCTTCTTAAGTGCTTACGCGAGTTTATTCGTGTGCACGTATCTGGCTGGCTGAATCTGCCAGTGACCCACTTTCTATTTGTCTACTCCTTAATGTCTTGTCTGCTTTGCAGGAAGGCGAAAGGGGGAGAGGGATTTGGGTGAGGTGGGGGGGGCAAGAGAGAACGTGAATATTTTTTTGTACACCGTGGGCTGGTGGCGGGGGGGGGGAGCAAGGGACGGGTGGAGGCGGGCGCCACTGCGGCAGCGTTCAGTGTCAAACACGAGCTCTCTTGTGAAACAAAGAAATGTGTGCTCCCGCCTTTTGTCGACCACCCGCCTCCCTTCTTCCCCCGGTCCGTTCCGCCTCCCCCCCACCCACCAGTCCTCCCCCCCTCCCCCCGCTAGGGCGGCGCGCGCTCGGGCATTTCAGTGTGGAGGCAGCAGCCTCGCCCGGCGTGTTGTGACGAGAGTGACGGGAACGTAAATCTGGGGGGAAAGCTCCGGGCTCGGGGTGTTTTTTTGTGTGTGTTTGTGTGTGTGGGGAGAAGGGGTGAAAGAGAAAGGCCGAGGCAGCTGGACAGCCACAGGATTAGGAGAGGGAGAGAGCGGGAGAGAGGCAGCGGGGGAGAGGGAGGGAGCTTGAGATAGACGTGTCAGGAGAGGTTTAATCGGAAGCGAGGGGAGCGTGCGAGCCGCTGTTGAAATCTCTTGGACTTTGACTCTGACGGGAAGTTCTTGTTTGGCACAGTCCCCATCTCCACTGTATTTTGAACAGACAACAGGGCAGGCCGACAGAGACACCACAGGGACAACAACTGGGAGGCATTCCCGGTGTTCCGCTCCAGCGATGTCAGTTTGGCTATGTTGTCGCACCGCGGCAATGGCGACGCTTCCAGAGCCAAGAGCGTGAATCACGCAGCGTCCGCTGCTCTCCTCTGTGGGGCTGGCCTCTAGCGGGTGGACAAGCGCAAGAGTCCTGAACCGAACCCCGGCGTCTCAGCGTGCGGAGCCTTCCCGGCAAAACCGTGACCTGATTGCACCATTACCTGTTGAACTCTGGTCCCCACATGTCGAGTCCTGGCTACCGCACGTTGGCAATCAAGTTAAGGTTAGCGTTTGGCTTTATAAGGTAAGCCTTCCATGCTCAACCTTTGGAAGCACTTCGCTACACACGCGTGAACTCGATTTGGAATCTGCAATACATTTTACATTTAATCCTGGTGGGCAGAGGTATGTTCGTCTGCTATTGATATTCATTTCACAATCGGAAGAGGTTTGAGTTGAAATTCTGGTCAGTGGATGATAACTCGGCTCATCGGCCTTCTGGGCGTCGATAAAGTAAATACCTCATTGTGTAAGGTCGGCGCTGGTTCCATCTGTGTAAAGGCTGGCATCTGCCACGGCAATTTGGAACTTCTACCAATGGCTCGGGGAACTAGCGTGAATGAGTATCCACCACTCTCATTTGAGCGGTGAGAGACTTTTAGTCAGACAGGTGGCCTCTGGAATTTGACATGCGGTGTCGCAACCTGATACGTGGCATCAGTAGCCGGAAACGCCGTTTTTGTACGATAGCTGGATCTCGGTGTGCGATAAGCGATCTGTGCGATAGCCCCGATTTTGACAGGTGGTGGCCAGACACTCGAGAAAGCGGTTGTGTGACCTGGAGGAGTTGATGGTGGATCTAAGCATCTCTGTGGGGGTTTTTTTTTGGTTGCTATTGCCGGAGGGGACTTTCTCGCGTTTCATACCCCGCAGCGCACGCAGCCTTGGTGCACGGCCACGCCGCTCGTCGCCGAGCGTTAAACGGCATTCGTCAGACTGCGTGAACACGTCCGTAACGCCACAGAGGCAACCAGGTTTCCATGAGCGAGGGCTTACGCCGTTGAACCGAATGTCACGGACACACGCATTTAAATCCGTCGGTGAATGCCGTGCGACATTTGAGAGCCTTGCGAGAATCCTGCGGCCCTTTGCGTAAAGCAGCTTAGGTGACTTTTCCTCTCTAACCTTGCACTGCGTTTGCACGACCAACGAAGGAGACATCTCACTTTGGCTGTTCAGCGTAACCCACCGGCGATGAAGGCAAACCCGAGTGGAAATCTGGCGATTTTTTTTTCAGATCACAGCCGGCTGTAAGCCGGTCGCACGTTACCGGCAAGGTTCCTAAAGAGTTGAAACGGAATGCCGCCTCACACGATTGGTCCTCTGCGGAGCGGGACGACGGTTAGGGAGCAAACTCGACCCAGAGGCCTCAGAACACCGGGATTCACGTCACCTGCATTTGCATCCGGAAAGGCGTTTCCCCCATCTTGGGGCATTTGCACAGCAGGGGATTGAAGGTAGCAGCGGGGGGGGGGGGGGGGGGGGGTGTGTAGGGCACGTGTGATATAGCAGCAGGCAAGATCCCGATGCGACACTTTCTCGTTGGTCTTTGTTCGTGGGGAAAGGAATATGTGAAACAAAACACAAGTTATATTGCTGTTGTTGTCGTTGTTGTTGTCGTTGATGAATGCCCCTGGAATGAAGCGCAGGGTTTTGTAACGGAACTGAAAATGCAGAACAGACGAAAACAAAGTTTCTTATTATTTTTGTTGTTGTTGGAAAATGAAAATAAATGACAAAGAAAAGGGTCGTGGGAAGGGCACATTGGGTAGACGTAGCGACAAGATATGACTCCTCGCGGAGGCCCGGCCCCCGTGGTGCTGCTCCCCCTCGTGATCGGGTTCCCACGCTGGGGGTCACCACGCGGCATCGTCCTGGGAGGGGGAGCGACGCGTGACCGCCGCTCGCTACCTGTGCGCACGCACAGGCGTTCCTCGGGAGACGTATTTTCCACCCTTCGATTGAATCTGCTCCCGAAATAGAAACGATGATTGACGTTCTCACGACTGACGGAGATACGATCCATTCGCGAACGTCGCTCGCTGACTTTCATTTCTTTAGATTTTTAAATAGAGAAATGTATCCATCATTGAGATTGATTCAGAAACCTTTATAATCAGAAATCGTTTATACATTTCTGAGTCATCAAGAAGGGTAATGTTTTGTGCCATGCTATTGTAGCACAACCCCTGACTCACTGTTGTGATTCGTGTGAATAACTCTCCATTTTAATAACCCAAATTTAATGAGCACGATACATTGTAAGCCGTCAGTTTTGAAACGTTACCGGAGATTCCTTGAGCAAGCTCCAACCAAAGCGGTTTTAGCAAAACGTCTCCCCCCCCCCCCCCCCCCGGCGATCACGTGACCAGGGCGGGCACCGCTGGTTGGAGTGGGACAGGGCAGGTGCTGCGAACCTTGGGGCCGAGCCGTAACCGGGCAGCTGCACGGACGCAGCCCACAGCTCCCGCTACGCTGCCTTCTGACGAACGATGCCGCCGCCGCAAGGCTCCGGGGAAGGTGGCGTGAGCGTGGTGGTTGGGAGCGAGGCGGCACGACTGGTCGGGGGGGTGCTGGGGAGAGGGGTTTGGGCTACGCTCGGATGCGGCGCTGATCGCGAACTGGCAAGTTGGCTGCGCGACTAGTGCACAGAGGCAACTCTCTTATTTTGAGACGCGGCGTAAAAACGTAGCAGAAGGTCCGTCGCTTTAGACGGCGTGTCGGCAAGTTGATGCACGGTGCCATTGCCGGGGGTCAAACCCGGGTGACCGTCGCTCCAGGGTCGATAACTGTGAGTTCCACAGTTCGGAAGTCGGCCGGAGTCGCCCGATGGAGAGATTGGCACCCACCCCCCTCCCAGCCACGGGACTTGCTCATCGGTGGCTCTGGCACACCAAGAGGGCGATGGGGCGCACTGTGTCCCATCGCTCGATCGAGCAAGCAAAGGAGACGCTTAATTTTTAAAGCTCTTGTTTATGTAAATGTATTAACACTGTTCTTTTAAAACAATTGAGACGCGTATAAGTAGCGGATGATGCACAGTAGATATTGGTTATACCTCTGCTGGGCCAACGTTCTCACGCCAGCAGCGTTTGTCCACCTAGCTTCGTGCTCTGATGGACTAAAGCGTTACTTTATTTGTTTCTTTGTGAAACAAACTCCTTTTTTTATTGTATCTGCAATCAACAACGATAGCACATCCCGAACCTTGTCTTTTGTGTTTTATGGGGATAAATATTTAAACTGGATTGAAGATTTTGCTTATTATGCTCCCGTCAAACCCCGGTCCTAGTCATTGAGCACCCGATTTTCCTGTCGAGCAACACGCTGCTCAAGTGCACTCGCTCAGAGACGCGTCATTAAAAGGTTCGCAGCTGCCTGACGACAAAAGCCATAGAGACTGTGCCCAGGTGCTATGAGCCAGAGAGGCGTTTGCTTGTTGTGGGGGGGGGGGGGGGGGGTCTCTGGTCGTGTGTGTGCGTGTGGGGGGACCACGCAAACGCCGCGGCTGTAGGGAAAGGGATCGCGATGCTCCAAAGATGAACAACTTTTTTTGCGCCGCCCACTGCCTAACGGGCCGCTCACAAAAACCTCCGCGACCTGAGGCGCTCGCTTTTCGTTGCGCTCCTCGCTGCTTCGCCGGTGCGTGCCCCCGTGCCCCCTCCCCCCGTGCCCCTCCCCCGTGACCCCTCCCCCCGTGCCCCCTCCCCCGTGCCCCCTCCCCCGTGATCCCCCTCACCGTCTCCCCGCATGTCGGAGTGCTGCGGTTGAAGAACGCGGCGCTGCGTTTGCATCCAGAAGTGTCTCCCTGTTGCCATTGGAACCAGTCGGTTCGCATTGGACAAGATTGGGCCGCAATCTCGGGATGTCGTGATGTACCGCCCTCCACGATATTGAGGGTTAACATTCGGGGTCTATAATAATATTTTTTTAAATCAATACCTATTTGCTATCGTTGTGATTATAGGATATATATTGGCCACACGGTTCCCACGAAACATTCGCACGCAGTACAATTGCCATGAATTGCAAATCATCGATTCTTACGCGACGCTTTGTTGCGTGTACAAATCTGCGTACGAATGAACGTGGACCGAATCGTTGCATCCCTGCTGCAAACGCAGCACTGCGCTGAGTATCGCTGTCAGTTGTGGGTTATTCATACCGACAACAAAAATATAACGACAGTCTGTCCATAGACGTGAGGAATCTGATCGTGCGGCAATGAGCAAGTCAATAATTTACAATGCCAATTAATGAGGACAGGATGTGAGTAAAAAAACCTATTTACAAAACGAAATCCGCAATGCTTGAAACATGTATTACTGGAGCAAGGGCAGCACGTGTGTGCAGTCGGGTGAACACTTCCAAATGCAGCCGGCGTCCCGTGGATCACCGGCTCCTGCGCTGCCGTGTCCCCGTGGTGGCCGATCCCGCGTTTAAACCGTGGGGGAGACGTTGAAGGAAGAGTCGATGGAGGCGACAGTCGTGAGTTCGATCGACCGTCCCGAGAGCCTCTCCCCGTCAACGGCTCCGGCTCCAGGACTCCGCTTGCAAAGCCGCCGCCGAGCTTTCGGCCTCAAACCACCGCTCGGCGTTGGAGGCGACCGCTAGACCTGGAGACCTAGACCCTTGTGGGGGGCGGAGGGGGGTACCGGTAGCTGCAGTTAAGTTTCACTGTTCAACATGCATCATTAGCTCAACGTGAGCTCACGTGACCAACGCTGTCAAACCCCGCCGTTGCATTACTCACCCACGTACATAATCTCACTTCACACGGCCGATGGCAGAATATCCACTTGTGGTGTGTGCATCGTGCTCCCGCTGACCCAGGGCAATCGCCAGAGTCACTGGGATACAAACCCTGGTCTTAGAGCGTCTTTACGCCGTCTAACTAAATGGTTTTGACCAAAGGTTTCCTAGTTTTAGTACTTTCTATCTCAGCCGTGGGTTATTCACATTCTGCTTCGTGGTTTCTTTTTCTCCCAACTTGCAATTAATTATTCATATGAAAGGCAATATTTTAAAATGTATGTTAACATTACTGCGATAAAGACACTCCCACATTTATGAATTTACCATAATCATCATTAGTTTTCGACTCACGCGACGCTACCGCGTGCTGGCAAGTAGCCAAAGTGCGCGTTCCTCCGCCACCCGGGGGGGGGGGGGGGGGGGGGCACGCTGCTCCGGTCGCCGCCAGCGGCCACAGAGCAGCCGCGTTCGAGCGTCGTGGGCTCCTCGGCCACGGTCGGAGCCTGGAGACTTCTCATCGCGATCCATCCCGCGCTGCCCTCGTGTTGAGCCGCGCGACTGAACCCGGGTGGGGGGGGGGGTGCATGTTGATGTCAGTGGGCGACGCTTCAATGAGCTTACGCGCGAGCTTTTTGCCTGAGCGTGTCTGTAAATACGACTGTTTGTGCGTTCTGCAGGCGAGCGAGCGAGCGCGCGTGCGTGCGCTGTCTGTGTGCGTAACGCTGCGCGCGCGCGTGCACGTCCACAAGTGCGCGCGCGCGTCTGTCCCGCTCGTGGTCACGTGTGACTGGACCGCTGTTGAATTCTTCAGTAGCCCGTAATCCGGCTCGTGGAGGAGGTCACATTGGTCGCTGCTCATTTAACTGACTGAATTTATTTATCTTGAAGGCCCGGTTGAAACGTAATGTATTTTTTGGGAAGACGATGCTTGATTTGGAGCTTTGGTGACTGCATGAATTACTTGTTGGTTATTTCGGTAAAGTCACGTAGAAAGAAAATAAATTAAATAATAGAAGGCGACGTTTCGATTGCAACACAAGCAATCATCATCAGGTACGAATGAATTAGAAAACCCTAGTGTTCTCATTCATTCGTACCTGATGATGAAACGTCGTATTCTAATATTTAAATTTTTTTTTTCTACGTGACTTTACCGAAAGAACCAACAAGTAAGACGATGCTTATTTAACCGAAAATAAAATGCAACGAGCCACATTGGCAGCAAGGCGCTCGCACTAGCCAAGGCAATCTAACACCTGTCCTCATTGACACGGATTTATACTGTGCCAGAACGACAATATAGGACCCTGGACAGCGTGCATCCGCCTTGCAGAAGTCATCTCGCCTCCTGAACCGTGACCCCCCGCCCGCGCAGCTTTGGGAGCTGCTGCTCATGGCCTTGGGTCGCTCGTTATTGGCGCCACCTTCCGACATCTCGGATGGGATCGTTTTCGAGTTGGGCGTTTCGTGGCCACTCACTTTTGCGACGCGATTCTCCCACTTGCAAACGACCCCCGCCTGCAGGGGGCGGGGGGGCGTTTAGCGTCGTCATCTCACGGCGCTGTGAAGTGGCGACACTCACAAAAACCCGGCTGGTTGGTGAGCGCTGTGACTATTCGGACACCCAGCCGCTGGAGCTGGGTGGGGTGCTCGGAGTTTTGGGAGCCACGGAGGTTGGGGGGTTTCGCCCTCCCCTGGGCCCAGCGGTCCATCGTATCGGAGCACAAAGCAGCCCCCCCCCCATTGCGGCCTCCCTCGAAGCGCACGAGGAGTCTGGGCTGAGTGAGAGTCCGCGCGCGCCTCGGGGTGCGCGCGCGTGCGTTGCAATGCGCCGATTTACGCGAGGCCAGTTTAATGGAGCAGAGGCGGTGTTCCGGAGCCAGGGACTCTCTATCCTATGCACTAATCTCTATTCGCTAGGGTCCCGGGTGTGGAGGGGTGCAGAGAGAGGGCGGATGGGGTCGGCGATGGGGAGTGCGGTGGCGAGGGCGAGGGCGGAATGGGCTGGGAGAAGGGTGGGGGGACTGGGCAGGGTTCATGTTCGGGGGGAGGGGAAAGCGGGGGCGGAGGGAGTCAAGGAGGGCGGAGGGAGTCAGGGGGAGGGAGTCAAAGAGGGGGGGGGGGGTGTTTAAGCGTTTGGGGCTGTCGCAATGCATTGGTTCCACGTATGCAGCACTTCCATTTTACAGTTTTTGAAAAAGATTCACTCCAGGAATAATGGAATGAGTGCGCTGTGAGAAACACCACAGACGCGTGTAGTAGTTAGTGGTGGTGGTGGTAGTGGTGATGGTGGTGGGAGTGTTACCGCTCTTGGAGGCGGCTCTGTGGGGTCGCCGCGGGCTCCCTCGCCAGGGGCGCGCAGAACGGGAAGCGGCTTCACGCCGCCGGCGAGCAGACCCGGCTTGAACGCTCGCGCGGCTGTGCCGTTAACGACACAAAAGCAATTCTAGTGTTTAACAAACAACAACAAATGTTCAAGGCTGAACCTAAATGCAAGACAATTGTCGGCCAGGGAGCGAGAGTGGAGAGTGCACACACGCGTTGAAGTGACCACCTGCCCGAGCTTACAGCTCATAATGCAGGACCCCCCCCCCCTCCGAGTGCTGTTATTGGGATTGAGTGGGGGGGGGGGGGGGCGGCGTGGGGACCCCAGGGGTCTTGGGAGTCCGGGCTGGGGATTCATGGGGGGGGGGGCGGGGGGGTTGAGTGTGTGGGGGTGTTGAGGGCGCGCGTGTCGCCCTATGTCCGTGTGCGTGTGCTTACATTACCTGTGACCTCGTACCACGGGTTTTCCCGTGCCCCCTCTACCATGCAGCTACTAAAGGGCTATTGTGTGTGTTGTGTGTGTGTTGTGTGTGTGCGCGCGCCTGCCCCGTTGTGTTTGTGTCATTAGTGGGAACGCACGCGCGCATACGCAAGTGTGCATAATGAGAAGGCTCGCGATTCCGTTATTAATCCCCCCCCCCCATCGTTCCAAGTTCGTCAAGGCAACGCCTCCCCATTGCCACCCCACGAGAAAGGCTCGGCTGGGTCAGGGGGTTGGGGCTGAGCCCAGCTCTTAGCCCAAACCAGTTTAAGAAGCACGTTCGGCCTCAGTGGTGAATAATGAACTTGTGTGGGGTGGGGTGGGTGGCTGTGGGTCGGGGGGGTTAAGAATGCCGCTCTCTGCCTCGTGGAATTCGGCCACTCGTGCTTGGACCGCAGGTTGCTGTGGAGCCCTTCTCCACCTCGCTCCCCATCAACACCACGCGGGGTCCCCTCGTGTTCAATGGCCCTGCAAAGTGGGAATTAGCGGCGAGAGGCAGCGACGGGCGATGAATGGGAGCCTGGCTTGGTGGGGCAGGAGTTGAGTGAGGGTGTGACGCGGTTGACACGAGTATAATAACGGAGGGGAGCCATGTTGGCATCGCGGTTATTTCCAGCATATGATTGTTACATCGTTGGGAAACTTGAAATACCATCCTTTTTAAAAGCAGTTTTTTTTTTAAGTTACGGATGTGGGTTCATTGTGGCCGTGATGTGGGTTCGACCCAATGTGGTGAAAGGCGTTTTGCTATGTCAGCTAAAAGTTATCACTCGACATCGTTCAGGACACCTGCGATGTTTCATCGCCGTGGGACCCAGTGCGCACTGGGTTCCGACACCGCCCGCCCGCCCGCGTGGATGAACGAGACTCGCCTCAACCCGCAAAACAACGACCGTAACCACTGCCTTTCGAGATGTCCATCTTGCCACAGGCACGCTGTCGATCCCAAGTTATTCTCCGATCGTTGTCACGAGCGCGAGCGTGCTTCGGCCGTGAGCGTGGCCGTGTGGCCCACGTGCTGTGGTTGCGCGCTAAGTAGCAGGGTGCCGGCTCCGCGTCATTCCACTTGGTTTCCTTCACCCAAGCGTCAGAGCTGCGCTTCGCCATAATCGCAGCGAGGCGCTGCTCTGGACGCGCCAAAGTCGCCCTCTGCCTCTCCCTGGGAAAGCCTCAATTTGAATCGCCACGACTCTCACGTCAAGAGGTCTGCTTGGGAGATTTGGCCAGTGATGCGGTCCTTGACCACTCGCCTCCATAGAGAGAAGATTCATCCCAAAGAGCAGCCAGCTCTTGTAGCTGTACACCCGCTCGGCGTCCCGGGCTGTCCCAACGCACGGGGGTGAAGCCTCGTTATTTGAGAAGAGGCAACATGAAAGATAACCAGTCAGCCATGTCACTGATGTTACTCTCATTCTAGAGAGAGCAGCTGAGCGTGGTTTTTAATGTTTTCTTTCTCGCCACTGAAGCTTCGGTCGAGTATCGGTCAGCCCGGGACACACAGAGCCCGGGACACACAGAGCCAAGGGCCGCTGCCTATGCGAGGAGCTTGCTTGTTGGGGTTACATCTTCCTGTAAATGTCAGCGCTGGCCTGAAAACAGCTGAGCCTCGTTTTCCAGCAAAGCAACAGCAGGAGCTCGCAGAGACGCTGAAGGAACCAATTTCGAATGATGCAGCGTCAGCCCCCCACCCCCGTGTCTCACTCCTCGTGTCTCCCCGCCGGGCTGACCGTCACTTGCACGGCTGCCCCGTACGACACAACAACGCTGACGAGCAGAGAGCCACGGGCGGCAGCCACCCACCCACCCGCTCCCCTCCGCAGCCTGTGACGGGGGTGGGTAGGGGGGAGGCCGTGGCATGGCCGTGGCATCTCTGGGTAGAGACCCCCCCCCCCCTACCCACGTAATTTGCACTGCAAGTGCTTGCTCACCCGCGCCGTGCCTCACTCGAATATTATACTCTACGGTGCTTATGGTTGATTGGCTTATGCTATACGTGTGTGTGTATAATTGCTGTAAGGCGCTGTATATAATAATATGTGATGCACATATTCCCTACCCAATGGGTAGACATTTCAAATGGACATTGTTGAAGTGTTTATTATTTTATGTTTTTGTTATTTTTTTCTTGTTTCTGTTCGTTAGTGTGTGCGTCCACGTGTGAATGCCACGCGCCGAGCTAAACATTTGTTTGTGTTTATTCAGATCCCGTGCATCTGCTTTGTTGTTGCATTAACTCGTCAGGGGAGGGATAGAGACAGGGTGAGAGAGACGGGGGAGACGGGGAGAGGAAATTTAAATAATAATAGAAGAGTTACGTTGAAGAAGCAGCGGCCGAGAGTGAGCTGCATCAAATGCACTCGCGAGGTCGCGTGGGTCAAACGAAACGGCGGCGTCGGTCTCTCTGCTGCGCGCCAGGAGCGGCAGAGAACTCAGCGCGAGTCGGAACTCGCAGCTCTCGTCGGGAGGCGTCTGAAGAGGCCACCCGATGCTCGGTGCTTGTCCCGTGGGTCGTGGTGGTGGTTCCAGCCACCCTCATCCACAGACTTGACCAGGGCCCCCCCAAGTCTACAGCAACGCCGAGTCACGCCCGGGCTGTGAAAGGGGAGTCCGGCGAGACCGGGTTCGGGGGGGGTGTGGGGGGGGGGGGCACTTCCAGCCCGGGCCCCCGGCCCACTGGACAGGGGGTCTCGTACCGTGCGGCGTGGACGGAGCGGCGGCTTCCGCCGACGTCTTGACGGAGCAATGGCCACGCCTGCGCAGCGTCTTGGAGACGTGAGCACTCTTCCGTGAAACGTCCGTGGAAGTCGCCTCTCCGCCAACGCGTGCGTTAGGTCCAATTATGTTAATTGGTGTCCCCCGCAAGATCACACCCAGCCCGAGTGAGCATTGGAAGCGTCCGTCTAAAACGTGTTGTCTTCACAAATTTTGTTTTAAACGGCAAAATAAAAATTATATATATTTCCCCCACTTGACAACTCAAGTTCTACGAGTATTTATTTAAATGTCGCACTCAGAGCCACTGGTCACATGCGATTGCGATTTTTTTTTTAAATCAAAACATGAACAAGACAGAGCTATTCAATAAATTTCTGAAGCTGTCTCCTGGTGGCATCACACATTTATAAACGCAAACTCGTGATTTGATCTGCAAGCGGCTCGCCACGGCTGCTGAGACAACCCCCGTGTCCGCACACCGCTCCTGGCGCTCGTGTGTTTGGGTACACAAGTGTGTGTGTGCGTGTGTGTATGCGTGTGTGTGTGTGTGCGCGTGGGTGTGCGTGTGTGTGCGTGTGTGCGTGTGCGTGCGTGTGTGTGTGCGTCTTGTTGGAATTCCCTACACCTCTGCTGTAGCAGACGGACAGAAAATATGGCATATGTGCAGGACCGCCCTTTCCTGAAACCGCATTGGGGCTCCGCAAGCCTCTCCTCAGCGTGCCTAGCAAGGCGATGCTGAATAATCCTTGCCAGGACCTTTCCCGGCACACTGAGGAGTAAGATGCCCCTGTAGTTGTTACAGTCTGTGGGGTCCCCCTTCTTAAAGAGGGGGGCCACCAAGGCATCCTTCCAATCCTGCGGAACCCGTCCAGTGGTCCAGACTGTTGTTATGATGTCATATCGGGCAGTCTGTTCACAACGCCACCCTCTCCGAGCACTTCGCTTGGGAGATCATCTCTGCCCGGTGCCTTTCCTGGTCTCAGACTCCGGATCGCCTTAAGTACTTCCTCAACAGATGGCACCTCAGCCAGCCACTCATTAAGGACGTTCATGATGGTGAGCGGGCCCGGGTAAAACTACGTGGCCGGGAGTCAGAGCCTTTCCCTGTACACCTTGGGGTGCGACAGGGATGTCCTCTGGCTCCCACATTATTTAACATCTATTTTGACCACGTAGTTCGTGAAGCCTTCAATAGCTGTACTGGGGGAATTTCCATTTGGTACAGATATAATAGGAGGCTGATCGATGACCTGGTGCGATCAAGGGATGGCTCCCTATTGGTCAACCACGTTATGTATGCCGATGATTTGGTAATAGCTGCTCATTCAGAGGAGGAGTTGGAGACGCTGCTGCTGAGACTGCCACTAAGAGGTGGGGCCTTACCATCAGCCCCACCAAAACTAAGCACCTGCCTGGGTATTTTGTACCATTGGACACTCCACCCCCACAACTCCCAATCGGTGATGGGGCAGTAGTGGAGAGAGTGGAGAGTTTCCCATACCTGGGCAATGTGCTTATGACCGGCTCCAGTTTAACAGCAGAGGTCTCCGAATCAGTCGAGCGGCAATAGCTTTTCATCGGTTGCGTAACGCTGTGTGGAAGCTACCTGGTCTGTCGCTCCGCACGAAGCTTCAGGTCTTCTCGGCCACAGTCATTCCCTCCCTTCTCTACGCTTGCGAAACGTGAACCCCCCTAATGGAGCATCTTCGCCGGTTGGAAACATTTAGGCTGGCTTGCCTACGATCCATCCTGGGTTTAACCAGGCTGGATTGTGTGAGGAGCTCACAAATCCTTGAAAGATCTGGGCAAAGTCCCATCGGTGAGCTCCTCCGGCAGGCAAGGCTGCGTTGGCTGGGTCATGCAGCCCGCATGCCCAGCCACCGCATGCCTACACAGCTTTTGTTCGGCCGGATCGAGGGGGCTAAACGGGCGCGGCACGGGCTAGAGAAGAGATGGAGTGATGTGGTACAGGAGGACGTGGAGCTGAGTGGACTTGCCGATGACTTGTATCAGCGGTGTCAAGATCGGCCTCTGTGGAGGAGGCTCGTGAAGGACGCTACTGGCCAGTTGGAGGCAGTCGCCCTCCAACAACAACGGAGGGCGGAGGAGCGACGCTCACAACAACGAGCGGAGCGCCGGGTGGCTAAAGCACAGCAAGTTGGTACAGTAGGGGGCACAGGTGGTGCATCAGCCAGTCATCTCGGTCATCTCAGTCGACCTGTGGCACCTGGGTCTGCCCCGTGACCTGCCAGCGGGCGTTCGACACTTCACGTGGCCTCAACGTGCACCTAGCCTGGCACAAGCGTCGTGGTGACGTCACCGCCACTTAGTGGCGAATGGCGGTTGTTGTGTGCGTGCACGTGTGTGTGCGTGTGTGGTGTGTGTGTGCGCGTGTGTGTGCGTGTGTGTATGCGCAGCGTTTAGCGCGCTGCATTACGAACCCGGCGACCCGAGTTCGAATCCCGCTCACGGCCACCACCAGTGGCGGTTATTCGAATCGGTCCTAGGCCTCTCCTAGGTCGACTCGGCCTCAAAATGAGTGCCTAGTGCGGTGCGTAAACATCGCCGCTGGAGAGACAAAGGTGGCCGGGCGTGGTGCTGGCCACCCACCCCCTCGTGTGTCGAGCCGGCCTTCAGAGGTGCTCGCTAACAGTCTGTTGAGCCGGTAAGGGGGGGCGGGGGGTCTTTGTATGCGTCTGTCCCTATCACGCACACGCGTGTGTCTGTGCACATTAAGCCGGTCAATCCCACAGCCTTCGCGAACGTGGCCTGAAAGCGCACCTGCCCTGGCACTTTGTACCGGCGTCGCGTCGCCCACACTTGGTGGTGGAGGCTGTCCAGCAATGCAGCAGGCCACGCACCCACACTCTCATCCCAGAAACCTGGGCTCAAGAAATGCAGCTGTCGTAAGGAGCGTGTCGACGGCCACCGATGAACACCGGTCACACCCTCGGCACTCACGCCTCAGTACGAATGCCCTGCTTGTCTTCAGGTGCTCTCAAATACCCGCCCCACACGCTCGGGATGTATTTAGGCAAGCACAGCGATGCTGGCGACCGCTGGATCGCCAGTCTGCGCGGTAATTTGAGGCAATCGGCACAACCCCCCCCTTCCTCCTGTATCCACCCAGCTGTACACATGGGTACACAGTCAATCGACACGTCCCATGTGGTGGGAGAGTGTGGCTCCTACCAGCACGACCACCTCGTACCGCTCGACCGCGACGACCACTGCTGGTACAACAACTTCTACTGGAACCACGAGTAACAGCTACCACTACACAACCACCACCACCACCACACGGGTGAGGATCAGTGTTGGTGACGAGCCCGTGACTACCACTACTAGTTCGCTAAAAATAATAATCTATATTTCAAGAGCCGCAATGCGCGTGAATACGAGAGACGGTGGGTTATTAATGATTGACGTCACGAAGCCGAGCCCTGCTCCGGCTGGAGGAGCTCTGAGTGGCGTGAGCCAGGAGTTGCTTCTGAACGTCCCCTGACTTCAGCGTCCTTGAGTAAAGGGCCAAATATGAATCAGAAACAATAAGCTCGACGTTTGTACTGTGAACACGCGGGCGCCACGGCGTCGAGGGGTTACCTCCTTCACCTGGTATACAGGATGTCGTGGGTTCGATCCCGACCCTGTCGCCTCTATATTTGGAGTCTGCGTGTCTCTCTCCCTGTGGTCGCGTGGATTTTTTTTCCGGGTCCTTCGGGTTTCCCTCCAAATTTAGAAACATTCAATCTTGATTTGAAGCTTCCGTGACTGCAGGGATCCATACCAGAGGTCGCAATCGGGTATCCGATACCCGGCTACCCGTACCCAATACCCGGCTACCCGATACCCGGCCGGATATCGGGTACCCGTTTGCGACCCTGGTGCGGCCGCGTACGGGTAAGGAATCAAAACCCGTTTGCGACCTCTGATCCATACTCTTTGGTTCTTTCGGTAAAGTCACGTAGATAGAAATAAAATAAAACAAATCACGACGTTTCGATCGCAACACAAGCGGTCGTCATCAGGCAAAGGAGTCAAGCCTCTAAAGACAAACTGTTTGTCAAGGTTTGTGGATGGGCGTAGCCCAAGTGCAACAACAACAGCAGAAGCACGGGCGGTGCACGAGTGCCAATAAACATTCGTTTTGACTATTTGGCTATAAAAAAAAATCATTGAGCTATCATTTGTGGCCAGGTCGCTTCTGAAAAAAAAAATGCTACATAGCTTAGTGAGCTTTATCTGGTAAAATAAAAAGTTTAGTTTAGATGAACAAATAAAAGCCTCGTTGTTTTACATTTCAGATGTTGAGTCAGGCGTTCTCTAAAACAGGTTTAATTGGATCCGTTGGGAGTTTGTGGCGCATCGCGGTCCGGCACCTTCTGCGTCCCAACAGAGCCGCGAGGAACAATGCAGGAGCAGCGGCTTAAGTGGCGACATGTGCAGCCTGCTGAAGATCCTTGACGGTAGTATCACCTCGTGCATACGAGAGCCAAGCTGGACGTCGGCCTCACCGCGCCGTGGGACTTGATTTGTTCGTACGTTTCCCTGCCGCTCAATGCGGGCTGGAGAGGTATATTCATGATCGCCGCCCATTTTATTTTTCTGAAATATTTTATTTCCTGACAATACATATTTATGAAATGAGAAACTCAATAATGAAAGTAATACATAGCCATCTTCCTCCTAAAATTAGATCATTTGATAAATTGTTTCGTGGCAATTACATGGTGGGGATAGGCTCCCAACCAATGATAGAAAAAGGAATGTCCCAGACTGGAATGAAAAACGAAATGCCCATATTATTCAACTAGTTCATAAAGCCTGTTTTTGCCAGGCAAAAGTTTTCAATAAATATAATAAGTAACCTATGATTTGTAAAATTTTTTTATCTACGATCAAACACTAACTACTTTAAAAATGTATTTTCCTGCAATTTTTTTACTTGTTTTTATTAGAAAGAACAAAAAATTACTTCATACTCTGTTGAGGGGAAGCTCCTATCTTTGACCATTTTTCAGGTTTGACCATCATAAAATGTATGTTTTCATTCAAATCCAAAATATATCAAAACAATTAAAGATAGAACAATGGTTCTCGCTTTAATTTTATTAGCGGTTTAATGCTCCATCAAACGAAAAAACCCGCAATCTAATATTTTCAACAGTTTCTGAATAACACCATACCAGCCATGTGTGCAAATCGAGATTTGGGAGCCTTAAAATGAAAACTCTCGGTCTCACAGATTTTTATTGTGTCC